CTGCCAGTGTATTTTCCTTCATGTACCTTTCAGAAGTGTTGTGAAACTCCACTGGTTCCTACATGAGAAGCTACCACCTGCTTTTACAATTCCAGATTTACCCATGAAAGCAATGAGGTCCATTGGGACAGCTTCAAGCTTTAATAAACTTCATTCCAAAGCCTTCTAACATTTCAAATCCGAGGCAGGAGCAGAACTTCCTCTAAGAAATGCAGTTACGTGGGCATACCGTATTTACTCACATGCACCTTTCCCCCCAAAATCAGTCCTCTACAATGGATGTGTGTGTTGTAAGTAGGGAAGCTTATTTACTTCACCAGAGTAGAAGCATAAAGATGCCATGTTGCAAAATGGCTACCAGTTTTCCTCTTAGCAAACAAGCAGAAGGAGCAGAATCCAGTGTTGGTTGTGAAACAGTTATTCTCAGTCTCTTGGCAGAGAGACAAGCTAGCAGTCATCTTGCGAGACAGCCTCTCCATGAAAAAGCAAACACTAGGCCATGACTCTGGAAGTATCTCCCTTCCTTCTACGCATATTCTGTCTCTCAAAAAACAAGGTGCATGTCTTATATGGGGGCATATAGTATAAACCAAAATATGGTATTACCAGGTTAACTAGCTTTGCAATGCTCAGAGTTGCAGCTGCTGTGTTGTCCCAAACCCCAGAGCTCAGAGGTCCTTGCTGTCCCTAACATGTGACAAAGCCTTCATGGTCCTAAGGGAGAATAAGTGAAGATTCCAGTGCCTTCCTTATCCTGCACAGACTACATTGCTTATGTGCAAGGCTTGATTTACATGGGGTGAGTAGGATTTTGCTTATTAGGTCCATGGAGCAGAGGTGAAGGAACCAACAGATCCATCCCTTCCAAAAGGATCCAATCTTAGCGCAAAACACTCAGGGCCTTTAAATGCAGCATGGTGGAAGATAGCAAGTTGTCAGCCTATAAATACTTGCAACTGATCCAATCCTTGTGTGTATGAATGATTGCATGAGCTGGTGGATGGATTCATCAGGTCCAAAGCACACTCTATATAAAGCTGTAGTAGCTGAAAACAGATCCCCCTTTCCACCAACCCCCAACAAAAGACCTTAATATGAACTACCACAAAAGTTCACTTCAGTCCTAAGCTCTCATTTCAATACATAAATTTGACAGAACAGGGTATGTCTATACTCCACACAAGCTACTTAGACTGCTTTAGGGACCTGAGCGAGCTCATTTATGGGAACACTGAGCTCTTCACAGGGTGTTTTACCCTGCTGAGAAGCCTGGGAAATTAGTCTTATGCAGGGCTACATGCTGGTGCAGATATAATGATTCTGGTACCTGGGCTGGCTCACTTACAGCTGATGCAAATATCTCTAGACTGGATCACATTGAGCAGTAACAGACATACCCTGACATGGTCTGCTTGAATGAAATCATAATGCTAATTAATACTTCCTAAGGGTCTGTGGGTCAAATAGCTGGTTTAGCAGTGTACAACAGAAATGAAATTAAGATACCTGGAAGCCTTGGACAGAAGTGGAGGGCACCAAGCCTGGGAATTCAGTAGGATGTTCTTGGCATTGGCAAAGGTGAAATGCCTGCCTCAAAAAATTATTTTGAACACAGCGAGAAGAGCATAGGAAGGTACACAGAAAATACCCAAGCATCAACATGATGCATGATGACCTGGTGGCACATGTGCATCAGGTCATGCTGACTGCCTAACAGGAGTCAGGAAGGACTTTCAGGCCTAACTTGTTCGGCAACTGTTGGAACTGGGACACTTAATTGGTTCATTCAAAGCCAGGACTTCTGTGCCAATTTCATATTAGCCTTAAAAAAGACATGGGAAAAGCCAGGGGATTGTCTGTAATTATTGACAGGAATATGGTAAACAAATCCCAAAGCTGAGTCTTTCACAATCTATCATGACGCTAATGATACAATAGTTAGACCTACTGAAGGGAATGATCAAACAACAGTAGTTTGACTTCTTTTTTTACTTCTTAAATAAAAGTTACTGGCCTACCAAAAAATGTAAGGTACTCCACCTTGGGGCGGGGGGCAGGGGGCGCGGAGAACCTGCATCACATTTATAGGCTGGGCAGTGCTACGCTCGCTAGCACCACAGCCGAAAGAGACTTGGGGGTCATGACTAACCACAAGATGAACATGACCCACCAATGCGATGTTGCAGCTGGTAAAGCAAACAAAAAACTCTGGCTTGCATCCATAGATGCTTCTCAAGTAAATCTCAGGAGGCCAACCTCCCACTGTACTCGGCCTTGGTGGGGCCGCAGCTGGAGTACTGCATCCAATTCTGGGCTCCACAACCACAGCCGAAAGAGACTTGGGGGTCATGACTAACCACAAGATGAACATGACCCACCAATGCGATGTTGCAGCTGGTAAAGCAAACAAAAAACTCTGGCTTGCATCCATAGATGCTTCTCAAGTAAATCTCAGGAGGCCAACCTCCCACTGTACTCGGCCTTGGTGGGGCCGCAGCTGGAGTACTGCATCCAATTCTGGGCTCCACAATTCAAGAAGGATGTGGAGAAGCTTGAGAGAGTCCAGAGGAGACCCATGCATATGATCAGAGGGCTAGAGAATAGGCCTTATGAAGAGAGGCTGAGCGCCATGAGACTTCAACCTGGAAAAGCGCAGGTTCAGGGGTGACCTGGTGGCAACCTATAAGTACATAAGGGGTGTGCATCAGGATCTGGGGGAATGGCTGTTCACCAGTGCCCCAAGGGATGACAAAGACACAAACTTTTCCAAGACCATTTCAGGCTGGATGTAAGGAAAATCTTGTTTACTGTCTGAGCCCCCGAGGCCTGGAATAAACTCCCTCTAGAGGTGGTGCAGGCACCTGCTCTGGACTCGTAAGAAACATTTTGACCCTTATCTTGCTGGGATCCTTTGACCCCAGCTGACTTCCTGCCCCTGGGGCAGGGGGCTGGACTTGATGATCTTTCAAGGTTCCTTCCAGCCCTAATGTCTATGAAATCTTCTTCAATGGGGCCTGTGCTCTTAAGCCAAAGTGTTTTTTGAAAAATGCTATTCATGATTAATTATGGGTACCCACACCAAAATAGCTTGCTTTTCAGTAAAGTTCTTCCTATAATTCAGTTGAAGTTGTTGGGATCTCAGATATTTATCATCATCAAAAATCAATTTACTCATTATTTATCTAAGGAGAGATTTAGGAACCTTCCTGTAGGTTCCAAGTCTAAAAACTCTGGCCATATTATGCAATCACATTTGTTTTCAAGGTGAATATTTACGTTATTATTTTGAAGTATGAAAGTACAGTGAGGTGGATACATAACAAGGTGGATCATTATACTCAATGAGTAGTCATCAATGGGTCAATATCTAGTCTAGGTATCAAGTGGGGTTCCCCAGGGGTCTGGTATTCATTAATCTCTTCATTAATGACTTGGATGATGGGATTGAGTGCATGCTTAGCAAACCTGTGAACAACAAGTTGGGTAGAGTTGCGCACACTTCAGAGGACAGGGATAGGATCCAGAATGACCTGGATAGACTGGAGAAGTGGTCTGCAATCAATCATGTGAGATTCAACAAGGATAAGTGCAAAGTCCTGCACTTGGGATGGAATAACAGCATGCGCAAATATGGACTGGGGAAATGACCAGTTAGGTTGAAGTACTGCAAAGAAAGCCCTGGGAGTTACAGCAGACCTAAGCCAAATATGAGCTAGCAGTATGCTCTTGTTGCAAAAAATGCCAACCGTATACTGGGCTGTATTAACAGGAGTCTCACTTACAAATCAAGGGAAGTGCTTCTTTCTCTCTCTCTCAGGCACTGGTGAGATCTCTGGAGTACTGTTGCCAGTACAGTGTCCAGTTTTGGACCCCAACTTCAAGAAGTATGTGGACAGTTTGGAAAAAGTCCAGCACAGAGCAACAAAAATGATTCAAGGCCTCAGGGATATGACTTATGAGGAAAGGCTGAAAGAACTAGAGTGATTTAGTCTGGAGAAGGGAAGACTGAGAGGGGATTTGATAACAGTCTTCAAACAATGAAAGGCACACAGAGTATAGAGATGGCCTTTCCCATGTGGCTAAAGGGAACAGGACTATGAAGAAATGGCCTCAAGCTCCAGCAAGGGAAATTTAGGTTGGAGATTTAGAAGGAACTTTCTGTGGTCAAGCACCAAAACATGCTACTTAGTAAAACTGTGGAATCGCCATCTTTGGGAGTTTTCAAAATCAGGTTAGACAAACACTTGGGCTAGGGTAGTCTAGTCAGGGATGATCCTGCCTTAAGCATGGGGCTGGACTAAAGGATCTCATGAAGTCCCGATCTTCCATCTTTATTGATGGGATATAACTGAACAATAAGATCTCATTCAATATCGAAAGGAAACTTAATTTAATTTATCATCACTATTTCTTGCTACTAGAAATGATAACCACTTAGTAAATCATTTACAGTCATGTAAAGAAATGTTACTAGATTCAATCTTGAAAGACAGGTAAGGGTCATGATTGCACTGTAAGTTTTAAGATATTATCACAAAGGTAAGTGGGTCAGCTTCATCACAAATTTAAAAATGAAATTGATTATAGTCACTTAATAGATATAATTTAGTAGTTTTAATAAAAAATAAAAAATAGGGAAATAAAAGAATATCTTATGAAACAAAACAAGTCAGTGTTTCTTTAATGAGGCCAGTCAATGAAGTAAATCAGAAATGTGAAGGAAGCCGTCTCAAGTCTTAGATTTTTCAGAAAGAACATATCTGGTAAAATATATAGAAACACCCCTTCAAAGCTGATAAAAAATGTTAATTGTAATTCTTTAATTAAAGTATAAAAATGTATTTTTGGCTAAATTTGATATTTACTGGACTCTTTAGCACACAATCCTTTTGGCACTTTACAACTTGCCATTAAAAGTAACATTTAATGGAACATTCAAGAAATTAATTTGAATTCAGAAACAGCCACCCAAAATTTGCATAGCACAACCCATTACTTACTTCTTAGATTTCCCATTCCAGGAGTCAGACTCATTCTGGGAGGCAGTGTGCTGTGATATGGTGGGGTGGTGCTGAACAAAATGTCATTTGGCAAGGCTTGATCTAGCATTGAACTCCGTGAGCTAGCATAAGATGATCCTCTCCGATTACTACAGATGCTCTCATCAGAAAGGGTGCGATAAAGTGTTCTCCTTGGAGACAGATTCCCGTAAAATGAAAACTAAATATTAAAATATTTGAGAGAGGTAAATAAGTAAAGGAATGAAAATATTAAATGTTTTTTCCCATTTCGGATGCCATCATGATAGCTCTTACTAGTATTTCTCTAGGCAAACAGCGTATCATTTTTGAATTTTTCAACTAGTAATGGAAGATCAGATATTAGGTCCCTCACATCACTTCTACTGGAGAGTCAGTGAAGTTATTGAATTGGACTTCTATATTTCCTCTTGATATTTTGGAATGCTTCACCATGAATTAATTAGATACTGTAACATTTTATTAATTCCACAATGTTAAATGAAACCTCTATAACCCTATGACAGTAATAGCTTCCAGAAATATTTATAAGGCTGCAGTCTCTGGCAACATTTATTCAAGACCATACATGGCACTGCTTGATTTTAATTTGAAATGACTATGTTTTAATACCAATCCATTCTGAACTGATCAACTCTATGTGAGGAGCTATCTAATTCATATAACAATAAAACAGATTTAGTACAATACACCTCTCTAGATACCAAGAAATATGGTAGGCTTAAAGGAAAAGACAGAGTACAGTGATAACAGTTTATCTATTTTATAATGTTGGTTAAAACACTGTAAAGTAAAATTAGATGCAATTATCCAAGCTGGATCAAACTGGCCCAGTTTGCTTCACGACTCATTTCTCTCAGCTACAAAAATAGTTACTGTTCAAGTCTTAAAGTAAGTTATTTGTGTAAATTATTTTGTTGGGCTATTCCTTACACATAGCAGTTCAACATCCTGATCTACTTTCCTTAGAAATAGCTGTAGTCTGCACACTTCCACTGCTGGATGAATGTCAAGTATGTATGGAAGCTGTGGGTTTTCAAAACCACAAGTGCAGGACAAGAGTTAAAAATATCCACATTGTTATGTTTCTGACAAGTCCTACAACAGATGGATACTTGTAAAAGGAATAAGTGGAAACATTCAATCACACAAAGGGAAATATCCTTTATACAAACTAGTTTAATATACATTAAGGCCCCAATTCAGGAAAACATCCGTCTTGAGGACAGCATTGAACATGTGCTTAGCTGTGAATATGTTTAAGTGCTGTCCTAAGGAGGGATGGATTTAAGCATATGCTTAAATGTTTCCTGAATCAGGACGTATATAGCAAAATAATATAGTGATTTACGGATTCTCTATGCATTTGATTGGAAATAGGCTCCTCTTACAATCATAACAAAGATCTCATTATTGTGTATAGTAACAATGCTTCATTGTAGCAAGAGCAAATATAATAAGCAATTCTAAGCCATAAATTCCTAAGCTTTCAAATGCACACCATACATATTTAATTTACTACGTGTCAAAATAAACAATCAAACTTCTAAATTAAATTCAGCACTTACGGAATTCCCATATGGTACTTTTTTATATACATGATGAATATATTCTTTAGCACATATTTGGTGGATTAAAATAGCCTTAAGCTAATATCTAATTAAGATAATTTTTCAAGTAATTAAGTTGCCTTGGGTGTTATTTTGTATTGGGCAAAGAACGCAGTATGACTCGTACTTGTTGTTTGAGCAATGTACTGGATAAGTTTGCTCCTCTTCATGGACTGCCACCTTGCTGGGTGGAGAGGTGTGCGTGTACTGATGATTCTAATAGCAACATCAGCAGGAGTCTTGTACTCCTGGTAGGTTCACCCATGGTGGTAAGGTCAAAGGAGAGGTAGATGAAGACAACACAATATAACAACACAACAAAGACCTCAATGGTGGGGCAGGCAGATGAAGAAAGCATACTTCTCAACAGCTGCAAAGGTGGATGAAAGCTGCAGTTGAAGATTAACCCCAGTCACCTTGGATCTCTTTGCTACTAGGTAGAGGTTTCTCCTCTGCCAAGAGCCGTGTGGTTGCTCATCCACAACAACATCCTCATGTAGAACAAGTCTCATGCAGGCTTTTCCCACTGGATCCAACATCTACCACAACAACCAAATCACCAATACCTATAACCTCTACAAAGTTCTGCAGTGATGGATGAATGGTGATGCGGACAGACAGACAGTGCAAGCCAGGGGTCCCTAGTCACAGATCCACACGCAGACAGTGGTCACATGTTGGTCGCTTGCCCCTTGGAATGGGACAGGAGGATGATTCAGCAGCTGCGATTGTGACAGAGCAATTAATTTTAGGATTCCATCTGCTTACCCTACATAGGGAGGGGGCTAGAAAAGGTGCCCCAGAAATAGGCTTTCCCACTTTATCTTACCCAACTGGATAGCCGCTTCCAGGGGGATCATTCAAATTGTGGTCAAAAACACAAAAATGTCCTTTGTATTCTGGAATGTATGAACCCTACTAGATGACCCAAAGCAGTAACAGACCTGAATGCCTGAGACATTTCACAATACAATATTGATATCACTGCTCTCAGAGAGACCAGACATGCAGACGAAGGCCATCTGAGGGATGAGGGGGGTGGCTATATGTTCTTCTGGAAAGGGAAACCTGCAAACAACAGGCAAATACACAGCACTCGTTTTTTTGCCAGTAGGACCCAGATTGTCAGCCGAATGATCAAATTCCCTGTTGGCATTAGCGAGTGCTTCATGACTCTGCCTCCAACTGACAAACGGTTCCTTTGCTACCATCATCAGTGCATATGCCCCAACATTCAATGCCAAGGAAGAACAGAAAGAGCCGTTTTATGCTGACGTTGATGAAATTCTGACTATCATCCCAAAAGAGAATATCATCCTCCTTGAAGATTTCAATGCGAGTGTCGGCTGGGAGTTTAACATGCAGAGGAACACCATTGAGAAGAAAGGAGTGGGTAAGGTCAATTCAAACAGCATCCTCTTACTCAGTAAATGTGCAGAGCATGACCTTGTCGTTATTCACACTTTCTTTAGACAAAACGACAGGTACAAAACAAAATGGCAAAACCCCCGCTCAATATATTGGCATCTCCTCAACTACATCATCATAAGAGGGCATGATCTAAACAACTTTCATGTGTGTTATGAGAGGAGCCAATTACTGCTGGACCGATCTTCACTTAGCGAGACAAAGCAACAAAAAGACAGTACAACATCACATGCCTTCAGACCCCTAGACACCGCAACGCCCTCCAAACACATCTCAGCAAGAAACTCACCAAATTTAGGATTGAAAATAATAATACTTGTGTTTAGGAAGGTTGGCAAGAGCTAAAGGAGACAATCCATGAGGCTTCCACAAAATCAACTGCCTTTAATCACACAATGCCATCAGGACTGGTTTGACGAAAGCAATGCTGAAATCAAAGCCCTTCTCAATCAGAAGAGAAAAGCTTTTGGTGACTGGAAAAACCATCCTAATGTCCAGTCAGAAACAGGAAACTTTTCGATGGCTTAAAGCTGAAGGCCAGAGGAAGATTTGAGAAAAATCAAAAACAAATGGTGGGAAGAGATGACAAAAGAAATCCAATAATTTGTTGATAATCATGGCATACAGAGCTTCTTCAGTGCAATCAAGGCTGTTGCAAGGCTGGGTAAAACTCTTGCAGACTCACTCCACTTAGAACTGAAGATGGTAGTACACTCCTCAAAGATAAGTCCATCAAAAACCACTGGAAGGAGCATTACCAAAAGCTCCTGAACTGAGAGTCAATGGTGACTAACAAAACCACTGAATCCATCCTGCAGCATCCAGTAAGGGAAGTACTTTTCAGTTCGGCAACCTCTGAAGAAGTCCACCAGGCAATAAGAGATGAAAAACAACAAAGCATCTGGCTCTGATGGCATTCCAACTGAAGTCTTCAAAGTTTGTGGGGAAACTATGACCAACAAGTTCCATACACTGTTTATCAAAATCTGAAACTCTAAGGAAATTCTCACTGACCTAAGGAATGCCAATATTGTTACCATTTAAAAAAAAAAAGCAATATATGTCTGTCTGTAGAAACTATCAAGGTACTACCCTCCTCTCCATTGCTGGGAAGATTCTCGTTTGAATTCTGCTGAATTGACTGCTCCCTCTTGCTGAGAAATTCCCTCCTGAGTCTCAATGCAGCTTCAGACCATTAAGAGACACCAAAGACATGATTTTTGCAGCCCAGCAGATCCAGGAAAAATACCAAGAACAGTACCATGCCAGGAATTGTATATAGCCTTTAGTGATTTGACCAAAGCCTTCAACTGTTAACCATGAGGCTCTATGGAAGATCTTGTGGAAGTCTGGCTGCCCAGGGAAATTTATCACTATCCTAAGACTCCTTCATGACCACATGACTACCTCCATCCTATGCAGTAGCTCTGCTTACGAAGGCCTTTGCTATTCAAACTGACATCAAGCAGGGTTGTGTGATTGCACCAATTTTGTTTTTCATCTTTCTTGCAGTCATTAAGACACTTATCTGTGACCATCTAACACATGACATGGGCATTGAGTACAGGATAGACAGGAACCTTTTCGATCTCTCCCGCCTCTGTGCCAAAACCAAAGTTACTTCAGCTTTGATTGTGGAACTTCAGTATGCCAATGATCATGCTGTCATTGCACACAAGGAGGAGGATCTACAAACAGCTCTTAACTGCTTCTCTCAAGCATACCAGTGCCTGGGACTGACCCTTAACATTGGAAAAAAACAAGGTGCTTCACCAGCCTGCTCCAGGCCAATAAATTCCCTGGGCAAAGATCCTCATTGATGGACCGGAGCTAGACAATGCTGAACATTTTTCATACCTTGACAGCCAACTTTCAAAGGTGACCAACAGAGATGAGGAGATACAGTACAGAATCCAATGTGCCAGCTCTACCTTCAGAAGACTGAATCATTGTGTGTTCAATGATCACATTAGGATATGAATAAGGTTCCTATTATATAAGGCTGTGGTATTCCCAACTACTGTCTACAGTTGTGAAATTTGGGTGACCTACACAGATGACCTGAAAAACCTGGAATGCCTTCACTGCTGCTACCTCCGCAAGATCCCTGGCATAAAATGGGAGAATTATCACGTAAATGCCAGTGTCCTTACTGACACCAACACCACCAGTATGTAAGCATTCATTGATTATTCAGTATCAGCTGTGGTGGACAGGACACTGTGTGCGCATGCCTGATGCACATTTACCAAAACAATTGCTATACTCCCAACTCAGCTAAGGACAAAGGACATGCAGGGGCCAGAGAAAACGCTTCAAAGACACCCTCAAAGTGAACATTAGAAAGTGTGGCGTTGTCACCACAAATTGGGAAAAAAGTAGCCTGGGACAGGGCTACATGGTGATAACTTGAGTGAGAATGTACATCTTACTTTGAGAAAAAACATTTTGCCCTGGAGGCAGAAATGGAAGAAACAGGTGTCTTCCAGAGAGCTTGTGGCTCTATGATCAGCCTTCTTAGCCATCAATGGACTCATTTAAAACCCTTTACTTGACTCGCGAGAGTGATCATCTTTGACTTGAGGGATTGCTGACAATACAAGTTTGGTACCAGTACTTTAATAGACTTTTTAATGTACAGAACTCTGTCTCTGCATGACAAAAATCAGTTCAGTATTATCCATCAGGAGGAGAAACAGAGGTCTTTCCTACTAATCACTTACAAATGATCTCTGTATAGGAACTGTGATCCAGGCTTCAAATGGAAATTACTGTGCTAAGCATCATTGGGGGGAGGGGGGGGGGGGAAGAAAGGGGAGTGGGTGGGAACAGACTACTTTTATTTGGGGTTGGGAGCCTACTTGAGGCACCTGGTTTTAAACATGTTCCCATCATTCTTTGAACTTGAAATTAGCTAGCTCAACTTTAAAATGTGTGTACATGCTTGTTTAAATAAACACTGAATTTAATGCAAATTCACCAAACTTAGATATCATTTCAGTTCTAGAGAATATGAATTATGGGAATTACTACAAACACTCAATGATTTTTTTCTAATCTAAATCCATTTAAAACATACAAGTACATGACTTTTAGGTAATTGCCTCTGATAGGTGCAGAACCAGAAAGAGTAGCTAACCTTTCTTCTACCCTCTTCCACAGAGACGATGTCTGGCAGCATCAACTTCAGAAAATCTTCTTTGGACAAGACTTGCTGGCTTTCAGGAACGGTACTCCTCACAGAAGTCTGAAGCTGACTTGAGGCAACCACAGCATCAACATCTGCATACACTTTGCTGAAACAATGGGTATATTAGAATGATAATGCAATATTGGGCCAGGATTTGCAAGACCCATCAATAGAAACTGAACACTTATATGACTATTTCTTTGCCAAGTGCATTGTTACCATCTCCCCAAATCATTTTAAATTTATGAAGCAGTTATAATTTCAAGATGAGATTCTTAAATTATTCAAAAATACCTGAATTCCCAACAAAGATACAGCATGTTTCTCAAAAAGCCTGCATTTCTCTCTTGCTCTTTTTTTGCACACTACTCTTTCCTATTGTTTTGTTTATACTTGGATCAACACTTTCAATAATTCATCAAACTATTTTAACTTGTACTTCCCAAGCAAATAAGAAAATCAATATCCTGTGGTGTGAAGCTGTACCCAGCATCACAATCTGACAAAATTATCACGGTCATCATTGGTAATGCCTGAAGTTTATTTGTAATCAATTCTGCCATGTGCCAAGTGTGTTTTATTATAAGCAATTTCACAAAGCTGTTTGGATAAATAAAACAGCTGTCTTCTTTAATTATCACCATACAAAAATGTATTTACATTCAACAAAAGACTGTCAAACTGAATTACTGTCTTTCAATATCCTTCCAGCAAGAAAGGAGGAAGATGATCTTAAAAGGTTTACTCTGAAAATGCAATCTGAGGAAGTAGAGATTCCCCAAAACACAGTGCATGCATTTGAAGCCAATTACTTGCTGCCAAGTGCAGCATAATCAGTGATTGTATCCTCAGCTGAGAGGAAACAGGCTTTGCTATGGCAAGTTGTAATTCTCAATGAACTATGTCCTATAGTAGCACAACCTTCAGCAAAAGACCCGATTTTCATCTCCATTATTAACTGGAGATGTGATTTCATTTCAAAATAATTAGTTCTGCTTAACTACCACCCCCCCACCCTGCAATACAGAAAGAGCTTTCCTAAAAAGAAGGCAGTGAGGAATGCCCTATTGTATGAGACTGGTTTGATATATGTGCAGCGTTGCCATCTTTGGTTCACTCTCTTTAGATGGAACTCGTCATTGTAGACTGTCTTCAAAGTTGCTGTCTTTTTGGTCCAAAGGCAATGCTTAATTAGGCAATTTTGTTTCATTATATTTTCAATCCTAAACAGTGGGAAAAATAAATCTCAGAAGTTGATAATGCAGGGGCTTATGGGATGAATGAACCTGCCATAACAGTTGAGGAACTACACCACATCTGGAACCCGGGTTTTTGCCTTTAAGAGAAAGAGCAATCCCTGTGCCAGGCAGGAAAAACACAGCTGTCCATTATAAAGGCACAGAATTTTTTGTCAAATATTCATTGCGCTGAAACATGCTGGGTTTGTTTGTTTGATTGAAGGTGGGAGACCCAGGTTCAAGTCCTGAGTCTGCCTGGGATTATCTGCTCAGAAATGGACAGACCAAGTTGGCCTTGAACCCTGGATGTCCCACACTGCAGATCAGATTGCTAACCAGGAAGCCCCACCTACCCAAAGAAAAGCAGGAGCCTAGAGAAGAATTCTAATAAGCAACTAAATCTATCTAACAGGAAGTGTTTCTTTCTCTATTATGTAGCCTTAAACATCCCTAAATTCTTGGCCACATCTCTCCTTTCCAACATATTAATAGATGCAATGCATTCTTTAGGGCAACAAAGATGTCGAAGGGCAACATTATGCATCTGTCAATATGCTTACCTGGGAAAGTACTTACAGATTCTCTAGGCCTGAATAATCAATGTCTAACTCATTCTCTTCTAGGAAGGACATGAGGTTTTTTTGTTTTCATTTTGTTTGACAGAACTATAACTTCTGGCAAAAAACTGACCATGTTACATCTTTCCCTCTATTTTGTGGCACTAAGGAAAAGTTGATAGGAGCAAAAAAAGAGGGAAAGGAAGGCAAAGTCGAGGCTAAATGACCTTCTATAACCAAACATTTTCTTTTACCTGCAGAAAGATTTGGTACATGAGGGAAAGGGGAGGAGTGTGGAGAAGGTCAAACATTTCAAACAAAAATGAAAACAGGAAACAGCCTTCACTATCATTTTCCAAGTAATTCGAATTTTCATAGATTCATAGATGTAGGGTCGGAAGGGACCTTGCAGATCTTCTAGTCCGACCTCCTGCCCTGGGCAGGAAAGAAAACTGGGCTCAAATGACCCAGCTCAAATTTTATCCACCCACTCTGGATATCTGTCCTTTATTCTTCTGCCCAAAATAAGAAGAAATAAGAGTCTTACTCATGGCATTCAGCAACTTCAGATTCTTCAGGTGTAGGGCTACCTTCTGACTTTTTCCAACCAATGACATATTTGCTCACTGCTCCTTGTCTGTGGTACGGTTTGGACATGGACCCAGAAATCTGATGGCTACTATTCTGTGGCACAATGTAGACTTTGGAGGTATCTAGAGAGCCACTCTTTTTAGAGCAATGTGCTGAAGGGCTTCCTGAATGGTGGGACCCACTAAAAAGGTAAAAAACAAAAAACAAAAACATGACTAGGTCCAGATAAGTGATGAGTCATTTACTTTTAATTTTTCTGTCAAGCCAAAAATGAAGTCGGCACTATCAACACAAAATTTTCACAAATACAAACGTTCATATATAGCTAAATCACTTCTCTGCTGCCTGAACACACGTGCATACTCAAACACGTCAGAAAGACTTCACAAGTTGAACAATTTTTGTAAATGTCAACTTGTCAAAATGCCACGGCAAACCAGGATGAATTAAGGACAATGCTCCTCACTAATCCGAACATAATTTCATTCCTCATGTAATTCCATTGGTGTTGAGAATCACATCAGGAATTAATATGGCCCAATATGACTGCCTTACTGCTGAAAGCTTCTATGGTTCTCTTCTTACTACTCCTGTCAGGGCACGTCAGCTAAAGATAGGCTGATGTCCTGACAGTGCTCAAAAATATAACACAGATAGAAGTAACTTCCAACTCAGTGAAAACAGTTTTCTAGATTTGAATATTTTTTTAAATTATTAACAATAGGTTTGCCAGACAGTAATGATGCTTTTCTCTGGAAGTTCTTACATGCTTTACACTCAATTAAAGCAAGAATCTCTTATGAGGAGGACCTCATCTTTACCTTGGAAATGAAGCAACTGAGGTAGTGGGAAACTAAATGGCCTACCTAAAGATATATACTTTATAGGTTGCAAAACTGGGAAACCAGAATTCCTGTTCTCAAGTGTTGTAATCTATCATATACAATGCTTCTTGTAAATCTAAATATAATACTATGCTCATTCACTAGAACCAGAAAGTAATACCAAATATAGAAGCAAAAATGGCAGTCTAGGGTTATTTTCCAGATTGAATGAAAGGAGGCTGTACAATGGTATGGATGTAATTTGTTCAATACATATTTCTTTAAAAATAAAAATGCCCACTGTAAAAAAAAAATCTAACAGTGATTTGTTTGTAAATTGTATCAATGTTATAGGTCATATAGTTCAGTTTAAAACAGGGGTGGGCAAAATCTGACCCACAGGGTGCCTAAAAAATTTAGAAAATTAATATTAATCTGCCCTGGGTTGCCCATAATGCGGCCCTCACTGGCTTGCCAAAACTCAGTAAGTAGCCCTTTGCCCAAAATAATTGCCTGCCCCTGGTTTAAAATGATCAACACTGAGATATAGTGTGTTAAGTTGGACACTGGAGATATTATGTTCTATTGGAGATTACTTTTCTGACCTCAAAGACAAATGGAACAATAAAGTTATACTCCTCCCACTCCTTTTTTGCTTAGTTGCCCCCTACTTTCTTGCATCAGCCTAATGAAGCATGGTGATGGTATTTGGGTCATTAGCTTTAGAAGCAGTATCCAGCACCTGCAGCTCCCGTCTTGTTAGATCTGGATCCATTTCTGGAATAGCAGTGTCCGATTAACACCAACTACAGCTGGTCACTGCCACAAAACAGGGGCTGATGCCCTGTGGCTAGGCAGTGCAGACAAGAAAGCAGGGCATACTTCTAGGCAACTGGAAGCAAGAGGGGAAGAATAAAATAGTTTGACTTCCCCTGCAATAGTAAAAAAATAACAGGATTATGGAGCTTTTGGGGATGTTAAACAATTTTTTTTAAGTTTCATAATGGATAAAAAGAATACAAACAGCCTGTTGATACTGAAAAGTGACAGCATGAAGTCTGACAGGTTTGCTATGTAAATAGCTGCTCCCTTGGCTACTCTCCTCACAAAATATGCAGAAACTTGTCACAACCCAAAGGGTGTGATTTTTGTTTTGTGTGCTTCGGCACTGCTAAATTGTCCCCGCTAAATTGCAGCTTCCTTGCACGGTGGAGTTTTCTGCTGCAAAAGAGAACCCCGGTGCAAGGGAGAATTTCCC